TGTGTGTGTGTGTGTGTGTGCTTGTGTGGTTTCCACACAGAAATGTAGAAAACACAAAAGATTACAACACTGTAGAACATCACTGAATTAAATTAGCCTATACACTTTACATATAAATCACATTTCTTATCAATATACATTTAATGATTAACAATAAAGATTAATAATAAGGAAAAGAGGCACATTACAAATAGCCTACGTCGTTGAAGCCTGTCCTACTGTAGATAAACAGAACACCCACGCTTAATAACTAACAATAATGTACATCAAAGAAGTACAAATAAAGATATAGGTGCAAACAGAATACAGTGATGTCAACCTTAGTTTTAATAAGCAGTTATTATTTTATGACACAGAACGCGTTGGTGAAACTCATGCATCTAGCAAGAACTTAATACACAAAATAGTCATATTGATTCAAGCATTTAACATTTATGAATGAATTAAATGTCAGTAGCCTAATGAACAATACTGTACAAATTATAGCGATCACGAGGTCGTTCATATTCTATCCCAAATGCGTACAGTAAAGTGGATACAGTATAGCCTAAAACACCCCATCAGTTATAATCAGGTCAATAGTGCCACCTGTTAACGCAGTTTTGTAACTTAGAGAAAAACTTAAATTAAGTCGTTATAACGAGAAAACAACTCTCGTTATGTCGATATAACGAGAAAATAAGTCGTTATAACGAGAAAACAAGAAGGAAAAAAAAGAATAATGCTTGGCCGCTTAGAACTTCCGTAAAAGACAGTGATGTTTGATTATCAAAAAAAACAAAACAATCATAATAGGATTTCAATAGCAGAAATTAAGCGTTAGCGTTAGTTCTGACAGGTCACGTGAGTCAAGCTTGAATCAGCTGATTCTCAGCTGATCACATCTACCTATATGAATACAACACATATCGCGGCATTCCTATATAAGCTCTATTCAGTATTATTCAGCAGATTTTCAGCTTGCTCCGGAGCAAATTACCCTCCTCCATCCCCAGCTCCTCCTTTCGCCACAGTCAGGACTTGGCTTTCTGATATTCCTTGCTAATCAGACTCCTTTATCTTGAATAAAGTGTTACACTTAAATATCATTAAGTACATTAATGATATCTGCCTTGTTCTCTTCTGTTAACCCTGGGGGGGTTATTATTGCTGCTCTCCCTGCTCATTCATGACAGGCTGCATGGATGGGCAGGGAGTTTTTTTGCCCAGAACCGAACCATACCACCAAACCAAACTTTATGCTAAGTATCTATCATTTTGACGATAGTGGTCCTGACAGAAACGTTAGTTTTGGTCTTTAACCAACAGCTCAAGTATTTTAATACTATTGTGACATATATAAAAGCCAGCAAATGTAATTTATTTTATTATTGGATATTTCCATAAGGTTTCCCCTGTTGATGGCTTCATATCGAACGTGAAAACGTCAAATTGTCAAACAATTTGTTTTATTTGACCTCTCTGTCAGAAAAGAGATTCTGGTTCTTGATTCTGATATACAGTGCAAATAACCAAAACCTTGTCAGGGCAAGGGCAGGAAGCAGAAGACGAAGTGAAGAAAAATAAAAGTTTATTACAATATTCTTTCTTAGTTACACTTTGTCTGATCATCATAAATTCAAGAAGTGTTACCAAAGCAAAGATCATTGAAAACCACTGCTTCACATCATTCTGTGACACTGAACTCCTTGAAATGAAACAGTCACTCTGTGCTTTCTGTGCAGCACAGAACATAAGATTATACAGTAATATAAAACACAAAGTAATAAGTAAAAAAAAACAAAAAACAGAACAGACCAGAAATCAATACACCAAAGCTCCAAAAATGCTCAAATGTAATAATGGACTATCACGTGATGTTTTGAGCACCGACTTTGCAGTAATCACTCTGTCGCACATAGATTAACAGTTTATTACTTTTCTGTATTGCGGCCATTTGTCTCAGTTAATTTGAGGAAGGAAAGACGAAGATCCAGGTAAAACTTTCACTGTTTCTAAAAGAAACCCATCTATGCGCTACTGTTGCTATATGAAAACTGAAATTACTTTCTGTTCCTCTTTTGAAAGTCTGTTACCCCAAAAATTCAAAATGTTCCTAAAGAAATCATAAAATGAATGCGTATGAATGGAGCGGTTTAATCCAAGGTGCTTTTCCACTGTTCGGCCACACGGTTCTAAGAAAGTAAGGAGCAGTTCCAGTTATATTTCCACTTGAAATTGTTTAGGCGTGGTCTGATTACAAACCATTCTCGGCCTGGAAATCTTCCACCCATGCCAAAGCATGCTGTAGAAAGCCTGTAGTGACGTCGCTACGCGGGATTGGTCATTTGTCAACTCCACTTAAATAAATTTGCTATTTGAAATACACACATATAGCACTTTATCAGTGCTTGATTTATCAGAACTTGCATGTAAGTGAACAACACTAAATAAGCCTTATTTAGTACAAATTACTTTTTTTTTTTTCACTTGTTTTTTTTAAGGCAAACGGTTTGCATGCTTTTTTTAAAGTAAGGTTTACTAATTTACCGTAAAATATGTATTTTCAACATGTATTTATGTTTTTTTATTTAAAGAAAGTGTAACAAAGTCTTGTATTTTCTCAACCAGAGCTGTTGCATTCTCATAGTTAGCTGTTGCTGCCTTGTTCATGGCGTCACTCACTGAATCAGCTTCTTCTGCTGCTTTCCATCCAGTGATTCCTCCTCCAGCAGCTCCTATAACAGCTGCGACTTTAAGAACACGTGCAGAGGTCGTGCCTGCTGGTGCTCCGGCACCTCCAGCCACTGCTCCACCTGCCGCTGCTCCTGCACCTGAAACTCCAACTGCTAGTGCTTTCAAAGGGTGAATTGCTTGTAATACAGCCACAATTGAAGCTAATGCAACACCTGCACCCAGAAGAGCACCAATCAGTGCCCCTGTTGATGCTCCTACAAGCTGCTTAAGAAATTTATCATGAACAATTTCCTTTGCTCTTTCTCGTTGCTCTTCTGGAGGCACGTTCTTATTCTTTTTAATTTCCTCTTGAATCTCTTTCTCCAACATCTGAAGAAGCTCATTGCTGTAGCAGACGTTTTCTTTCACCATCTTGTCGATGGTCTTCAGCAGATTTTTCACCTGAAACTTGTTGCTCTTGTTCCCACAAATATGTTTATTCCAGTATTTGTTGTCGATGACGTGACAGCGACCTCCACATTTATCAACCAGGTCCTGAAGCTGTGAATTGGCCTTCACAAACTCTTCAATGGTTTGGCCTTCTAGCTGCTCACCAAAAGTGAATAAGATCACTGTGTGTTTCAAGACATGCTCATCTTTGAAGGTGTTCAGGATTTTCTGTACCACCTCGTTTTCATGTTCTGTGTATCTTCCGACCTTTAGGACCATGATAAAAGCATCGATGCCTGGAGCGCATTCAATCAGAGCTTTGAAGATCTCAGATTTGATCTCCTCTTCATCACGATTTGTGTCAAAGAGTCCAGGTGTGTCGATCACTGTGATCTTTTTTCCCTCGAGCGTCCCGTCTGCACTTACACATTTATCTGTTACAGCATTAGCTGAAGCTTTACTGGTGAACACATTTTTTCCAAGAATTGTATTCCCAGCGCTGCTTTTGCCATCTCCTGTTTTCCCAAGAAGCACGATCTTTCTCTCTGGCAAAAAAAGAAAAAAGAAAAGAAAAAGAAAAACAGTAAAAAAAGTATAAACCATAATGCTACTCTTTATCAGTGCTTGTTCGTTTAAGTGACATTGTAAAATAATGTAAAAACTTACGTTCCATTATATCCTTATATATATATCCTTGTCTGTTGATAACGTCAGTCTCTGTAAGGTAAATAATATGCTGGTTAATCATGACTCTTCATATGGGATATTAGCTATTTATGATGTTTCTCATACCACTGATTTATTTGCTTCAATGTCTTCAACTGTTTTACTGGCATATAAAGTCTTTATTGGCATACAACGTCTGATGCATATTAGTTTATTTAGCCTAAAACTAACTTAAATAATCAGAGCTCAGGGTTCTGCTCTGAAGAAAACACAGAGTAAATGAGTGTGACCTGTTATTTCTGTGCTTTGTGATCAGAGTTTCATCCAGACGTAATCACTGAATAGTTCAGACACAGATCTCCATAAACAAAGAGCAAGAAGTTAGCAGGTTGTTGCGATTTGTGTAAGTGAGAAATTCATTGTGCACTGAAAATAAAGTAAACAATGTGCATCTTTATTTTTTTCCCTTCAATA